CTAAGCACTTCTTGCGAACTTCAGGCAAGGCTGAAAATAATGTTCCGAACAAGTTCCCAGCGGAACTTCTAAGCAACTTTTAAGTTTCTTAAAAGTTGCCTGCGGAACTTCTTAGCAACGTGAAAGTTTCTAAAAAGGTCAGTCAAAGCCCACATGAAACAATCCGCACAAGTCTTTATTACTAACAAAATTTCATGTACGTAAATATGAAATAATCAGTGGCTCAAATATTTTTCCAAATATTTAATACAAGTGTGTTAGGATACCATGTGGGCAAACGCCGATTAAAAATTCATCAAGGCGTTGTGTTTCGTATTTAAGTCCGTCAGCTAGCACTGAAAACTCCAACAGTAGGCGGGACAACAGTCACTTTAATATATCACAGATGTCGTAGCGGTTCGTGCTGGGGCTCTACGCAGAAGGACTGGGTTTAATTCTTCCGAACATCTCTCATACTACTACTAATGCTGATAAATAAACACACGCTTTAGAAATAACTTTCATAAGACCTGACTTTTGAATTAACTTTCATAAAAGTGCGAACTAAATATTAAATTGGTGTAGAGGACATAAAAACTGTTTTAACTTATTTTCTAAAAGTGCCTTTTAAGTCTCGCCAGAAGCTGCTTAGTATGCTCTTCAATTATGGTACCGGAACTTTCAAGTTCTTATAAAGGCTTAAAAATGAGGCTGCTTAGAATTCTATAGACCACCTTCAACCAAGCTGGCTAAGTAACCTTTTATCAAAACTTTCAGTTATTTGGGATATCAAAAAATGATACCAAAAAATGTTCCCACAATACCATTCCAATATCAAATTATGCAAATGCAATACCAAAACAATACCAAACAGGTATTCTTTTGGTTTCCAAATATCAATTTTTGTTATTTAGGAAGTATTTTGCATGCAACTTTTGGTATTATTCTTTGGAGTTTTACCTCTTATGTCAGGCTGATCAACACCAAAATCAGGAACAGAATTAGGTATTCATAAGTTATTTTCTCTAACTCGGGAAATGTCACTTCTTGGCTTTAAATAATGGCAAAATCGCTTTAAATATGTCCCATCAACCGTCTCTAAGATTATTTCACAGTTTTGTAAAAAAGATATACCGAATCTGAAAGAAGTCTTGACATGTAATGTCGGAAGACTTGTCAAATACAGTAGTACCCCGATTTTGTCAGAATCAGCCACGCATCAAACTTGAATCTGTCAATAACATCAAAAACCTAAGTACACATCCCATAGGTCAAAATGTCAAGATAACAGGTATAAAAATGAAACTACAATGTGTAGCATCTGAACCTACCAAACTAATAATAATCAAAGTTTTAAGTAAAATAAAGAAGAAAAATCTATTTAAATCCCTAATAAGGAAAATTAGGAACGTTCATTACCGCCGATTCATAAAACCAATGAAAAAATACGTCGCAGATTTCGAACGAAAAAAATATTGTGAAAAATATTGTTCGAACGCTACAAAATATTTTGAGAACCAACATTACATTTCTCGAAATGATAACATCTTCTATAAATGCTTTTTTATTGCTGGTATTCAAAAGAAAATTTAATCCTTTGACTATGGGGGGGGGGGGGGGGGACACCCCTCACCATCCCTCTCCAAAGGGGGAGTTTGGTAAAGAGAGATGAAAAAACCGATTTGTACCTTCCTTAAAAGTTGTCCTAGCTCGCTTGTCTAATATCTATATACAATCTTCACACTGCCGTACTCTAACGGAACTATCAACTCTATGCTTTCATCTACTCCATCTATCGTATAAAAATTACCACTACAGTCTGTTATTTGAAATTTAAACCGTCAAAATTGTCTTAACACGCTAAATTGGCCTAAAACCTGTAACATTTTCAATAAACGCTGAGAAATAGTCAAAATCACCTTAAAAATACCAAATCATCCATTAAACCTAATTAAATCAGGTCTTAAATAAGTAATTAAATGGACCATAAATCGCAAGCACATTTTTTTTATTAGGTATGGTATGTAACATTTTTGCTGATTAGAGAAGTTAGGCATTTTGTGTGTGGTGAACAACAAATTATTCCTATTTTCAGAGTGATAGTTTGATAGTTAATTCTTTCAAAATTCCCGTGAACTATGTACTGTTAAATACAACAATTGACACTCTTATAGAAGTTAGGTGTCGTCTGTACCATTGACCATATAACAAATAGTTGTTTGATGAGAAGATGAAACAGAAATGAGGTAGTGGGCCCTAATTTTGCCCGTACGTTGAGTAATAGGAGTAGTGTCTGGTAGCTTTCAAATATCAAATTGTTTACATTTGTGACATACAAAAAGCATTCCAAAATTGGCCCTAATTATTCCAAAGACCTTTCCCACTAGGGGCACATTAATTCCATTAACTACTATAATTAGACTATGCGTAACATTAATTACATTATTAAAGTACATTAATTACATTTTCAGTACTTTAAATTACATTAAGTTTTATGTAGTATCATTTCTATATTTGTATATTTCATGGTGAACCTGCATAAGAACAGTTACCCTTCTTATATCATAGAATGACCAATTCCTGTCATCGACTGATTAAACAATTCTCTGCTATCAGAATGACTCATCGAAGCGGGCCCCACCACGTTGTTGTTGAAGTTTAATAGCCGGCGGCGGCGCGATATGCAGCAAAAGTAGCAGCGTGTAAATATTAAGCTCTACGCTCACGCGTGCTTAGCATTGCAAATTCTAGCCGGCAGTTTGGCCGGCTGGGGAGAAACAACAATCTGCGCATTATGTGCGTCTCGTGTGGTTACTTACGCTTGAAATTCTAACCTCAAACGGATGCTGGTGGGTGGTTTCCCAGGTTACAATTGATTGCACGCTTATGGTAATTTGTGAATGAATCATGTGGTCGGTAGTTCAATTGCAGTTTTCTCAAATTTAGACGCTCAAAGGGTTGTATAGTCGATTGCTATGAAGTTACTTTAAGAAGTCGTTATTCTTCTTGGAACTAATTTGGTTTCCAATGTCACTTAGGCATGGAAGATTTTTTGTGAATCTTTTATTTATGATCGCTTGAAACAAACAAATCACATTTTCCGTCAACTTCCGACGTTTGTAAAAATGTGGTGTAATAACCCCTTAAATAGACATCAAAAGAATACCAGCGCCACCAGATTACCAGTGCTGATGTATCTTCTTTCGGGTTCTATATTTCAAAGATGTGCTGAGAGAACTCATGTATTTAATATTTGAGTCTATTTAATTTCGAGTTAATCTTGCATATTTATCGTTCGTCAGTTTCCTTGATTAACATAATTGATTTAATTGGGGTCATGCCACCTGAGCCGGAGGTTGCCCATAAAAGAGCAAAATAGTGCTTTAATTGGATATGAACGTATTTATCTTGTGATGCTATGTTTTCTCCCCCATCTGCCGATACAGGGTAAATAGGTAAGGCTCGCGAATGGTCGTTATTTTTGTGCAATTTTGCATTCACAATGAACCGGGTCGAGATGGTTTTAATTGTACACAACATCTCTCTTGAATATTCAATAGTACGGGGGAGTTTGGTATTGAGAAGTGCTGTTTTACGATTCTGGATGCAATCTGTTCTTTTCCTCATTACTACAATTGTGATGTAGCGTTGAACAAAAGATTTTTATTCAAATTTACAACATATTAATCTACCTTTTATTAATATATATTTTTTTTTGGAAATTCGGCAATTTGTTCTTTTGATGAAAAAATATATACAATTTGTTCTTTGCTTTGCAGTAATAGTGAAATCATGTAGAGATAATGTATGTACCGAAGTAGGTACATAAATAATCAAGGATATTTTAAATAAATTAAATACATCACTATTTTGCTGATTTTTTGACAGCTTTTTACTGCAACAAAACTTAAAAGTAACTCTCAAATATTATTGCGGATGTGAAAAGTGCAATAAATTTCTAATAGGAATATCAATAGTTTATTATTTGAAGAGTTTGGTTAGCGATTATATTCCGTGACGTTACAACCTTTTGCACTTCTCAACTACACTGCTGAACAACTACTCACCAAAACGTTTTGATCTACTCAAATCAGAAACTCTTGATCAATTCTTATAGGAAATTTTTTGTCAGTTACAGTACAAGAACTTTAAAAAACAGGAATTCATGAGCATGTTTATTTTTATCAAAATTTTACCTTAATCGTATTATTCAATTCACTTTAACTATCTTTCGAGAGACCTTTTAGTTAAATTTTAATTAGTTTTATTCAAACTTTACTTTGGTTTGTAGAATGTATTAAGATTAACGAATTTATTTGGTCAAATGTATAGTGAAAATAATGAATACCGATCTTGGGTTGAATAATTTATTGCATAAGTGCACTACGGTGTAAAAACACATGCACATTTACAGTTCTTTAAACACTTCCAAAGTTGAATTGAATTCTAAATTGAAAACGTTCTAAACCTTTAGGTAATTTTTATTTTGCATTCGAATTAGGAATCGAATCCACCGCTTCCGGAATTATGTAAAACAATATCTTTGACAATTTCAAAGCCTTCTGGCGATAAAACCGTTAAAGGAGAGAGTCAAATATTTCATGAGTATTTAAAATCGCATCGAACAGATTTTATGCTATTCCAACGAATTCTCAAGCTATTGATATGAAACACTATTCCTTTTGCTGCATCGTTTTGTCAAAGTTTTATTTTTTCAGGCAACTTAATTTTAGCTACTCAACTGAAATTTGATTCACTACAATCAATGCCACATTATTTCTACATCAAAATAAAAAAATCACTATTTTGATATATCAGCACTATTGCGATAATAGAGTAAAAAAACACTTCAAAGTAATTCAACGAAATTGTCGCTTTCAGCTGTGCACAGATTCAACCATCAGAAATCTTCACCCTTCACTGCAGATACCGATCAATAAAACATGTGTTACCAGGTACCATCTACACATTCCACGGCACAGAACATAAATGTTATGTAGCCAACATTTGACTGCACTCACCTGATGTTTTCTTCCTCTCGCTGCCTTTACGTAACGTAGAATTTTTCAAATAATTTCACAAAGCTCGTAGTTTCAATCCAAAATCCGATTTGCAGATCCTTATCCTGACCGGGAAATTTGTTTTAAGCGTAGTTCGTTTGCTGATTTGCCGGTATTTCAATTCACCAGTTGATTTTATTTTATTCCGATGAGTGGATCAAAAATATAGAAGAAAATTAAATTATTAGAACTCACTAGAACTAGCACTTGAAGTTTCTGTAACTGAACATTAAATCCAAGAATGATGCACTAAAATATTCCTAAATCAACGACCAATCTCAACAGAAAACACCACAAATTCTCAGAATCTAGAAGTGTGCCTTGCACTCGAACAACAAGCAATAATGAAATAACTAAGAACGAACAATAATCACCTTCTATCCGCTATGATAACGAGTAAGAATTTGACGCGAACTACGTTGTTCGCAGCTGCTTATATAGGCTCGACTTGCTCCTTGCCAAAGAACCGAAGAACTGCATACTCTGCTGAGCGAATCAGACTCTTCTACCTATGGGTAGCTACAGCCGATGTGGGAGTTGATGCTGGTCTTCTTCTCTCTGGCTCTGATGTTTCGAGGTGGCAGTGAAAAAGTCACATCTATGCTCAGTTTGACTGTGGGCTTTGGGTTTTCACTATAGGTAGGTACCCGTTTCGGCAGCACTCAACACGAGCTATGGTGATGTTTTCGGTGTGAGAAGAATCATTCTGCTTCCATGCTGGGAGCAGGGATGCCGGAAGAATTATGATGAGCATGGATTGTAGTTATTATTGGACTGTTCAATTCCTGGTATTAAAATCGTGAAGAACTAAAATCTGGAAATTCCCAAACTCAACTATCGGATTATGGGCGAATTAGCGATTATCAAACAGTAAGTGTTGTTGTTCCGTGAACCGAGTGACGATCCACCCGAGCAGAGGATGAAAACCAAATGAAAACAAAATTTGATATTATGAAATAATCGTTCATGATAACATAATTTGAAAACCGTCTGGTCGAGTTAACAGGAATCATAACAAAAATGAGATCTAAATGGTGTATGAAGATTATCAAAGTGATCACAAATCTACATCAAATGAAAAATGACCACAAATAACAAATCAATGTAGGCATTATGATATTGGCATTTTCGTTAATATTTAACAAAACAAGTAGTCAATATGTTATTATTAATATGACAATAACAAAATCTGTTGTCACTTTAATATTTAAATAATAACTCGATATAAAATTTTTGAAACTTAATTTAGCAATCAACTGAGCGTTAAAAAATCTATTTTATTTCTATATGGTGTCCAAAAAAAATAGAAGGAAGAAATCTGCTTTAATTTTTTTTTATTATTGAGGGAGTTAGAAAGAAACGGGTGCAAATGACAAACCTTAAAAATATACAAAATGGATCTTTCCGTAACCTTGAGCAACATTTTTTAAACGCCTTCCACATTAAAGGCTGTTCATAAACATTTTAAGTGCGGAAAAGAGGTTTTGATAAGTGTGTATGGTTCCTATTATCTTATATTAGTGCGCGTTTATGTTTTTCACTTGAAACCTTTTTCTTCTGACCCCTCAATTAATATTTAACTATAATTCTCTAGATTATCTCAAGAGTACTAAAATTTGTTATATAGGGTTACAATTTTTTCAATTTTTATTGAATTTCTCACTGAAAATTGTGATCCACAATCAAATCACTTATTTATGAAACGAATTCAGTACTTTTCCTGCTCTTTTAGATTTGAAAACTGATGCGTGTGGAATCTATGTTCAAATAAAGCAAATTGTGTTTATACAAAGTGATTTTGAAAAGAACAATCAGCTAGCTTGTTTTGAAGACTATTTTCGATAACACAAGTTTACATACATTTATAGATCAAAAATAGGTCACTATTACATATATTTTAAGTTAGTTAGTTGTACGTTCCCAATTGGGTTCTTTAATTTTGATAAATATATCGATTATTACACGTCATCTGAAAGTGCTTCGTTTTCTGAGCAGAACGATATATTTTTCAAACTCATAGACTTCCATCTAGACTATCAAATCAAGATTTAAAGCTAAATAATAAATTCGCCTTTTGACACTAAACAAACAAATTGACAGTCCCACCGAGGGGCGCGAAGATGGTGATTTTTTTGCTAATGATACTGATAAAATGTTTGAGTACGGTGTCATTTTTAATGCAGATTACGAATATGCATTACCCTCAATTCCCCTAAAGATCCCAATTGTTAATGAAATGCTAAGCTTATATTACTATGTAAGTGTCAGCAGTAAAATATCGCCTGCTGCTCTATTATTTGTTGCCATCAACTGAGTTTTGAATCATATGATGGCTGCTTATTATACCCAATTTAGGTCACCATATTTCGTTCATTTCGTTTTAAAACGGAGCTTTTAGTCGAGGTGGGCGACACATCTAAATCTAAATTCTAGATGCTCAAAAAATCTCACACCAGTGAATCAATCTTCGAAAAATCATCTTTCATTTCTCGCATCTACTTGCATCGCGCTTCATCTTTTTGCAGGAAACCTTCAAAATCGACATAAATCTTCCTTCTATCTACTCAGCGTTCGTGCAGCTAGCCACAGCAAAACATAATCTTTTCTGCATAGTAGAAAGAGTCGTCCCCCTCGCTTTTAGCAGCCAATGTACTTGCCTTTGTTTTTCTCAAATATCAAATTATGTTTCCAATTCGAATTTAAAGTTATAAAAAAAAATAATATCCAAAATAGTTATCAACACCCCAAGTAACACACTTGTTCTATAACAGTTTGTATAACTTTTACATGGCTGATATTAGTTGTATACCAGTTTACTCATCATAATCTTGTGAATTTGATTTGTTTGGGATGTTTTCAAAAACATAATTTAATATCATTTTGACAATATTTTTTGGTATCCGACTTTGCTCGGGTAGTGCGCAGTTGGGATTCAAAAGCCGTATGTAGGAGGAATAAATGGTGTGTGGCTAAACAATTAGTTCTAGGTAAATAGTGTCTTCGAAAAAGTTTTCCATTTATTGTAGCCAATCTTTTGACATAAATTAGGGTGGAGTGGAGCTTTCAGTTCATGAGTTCTAAATATCAACTTCAGTGTTCACTCGGCTGTTGACAAAAGCAGGCCACTCTCGATGTGTGCGATCGTCTGTTTTCTTGGCAGCAACCATTGTGTGGTCCTCCTCATTGTTCTTCATCAGCAGTTCTTTGGGTCGATGCGTCGTCGACTTTGGAAAGCAACCGTTTCGTGATGAGTGTGTGAGTGCTGACCACGTTTTGCGTCCATTGCTGCAATGGACGCGCTCTGACCCTCGTTGGCGTACAACAATTTTCCATACAATGAAACCACTGGAAGCGACTCCAGTTCTGATGGAGGAGGCTTTTTGGATAGCGGAAGATAAAGTGTTTATTGTGTTGTACCTATTGACTATAGTTTTAAGATGTATTGTATAGTGACCAAGAATCCTCGGCTCTGTAAAGTTAATTCGGTTGAGCCTTATCAAATAAACTAATAAACAAAAAAAAAAAAAAAAAAAATATCAACTTTCAAGTTAAAGGAGATAGACTACCCAAATGTTGGACAATGTTGTAGAACATTGTATTTGGAGCTGAAAAAAAAAATCTATCGCAAGTGGTTCACAATTTATACTGGTTTTTAGTAAGTAACCTGGGGCTACCACTGCAAACCTTTTTTATTTAACTAACTTTTTATGTATTGATTTCTCGTAAATGATTTATTATACTATGTTACCTGACTTATATCGAGTAAAACCGTGAGATTATATAACCGTTATAACCGTGGGATCGTACACCTACCCTAATGCTTGGTTCAGTAGGCACTTTAAATTTTTTTTATAGCGCGTACTTTTGTTCAAGCAATTACATTTTTATCTCTTTTTGATGGAAGGTTGTAACCAATTTTGATTAAAAAAATTGTCATATCTTGAAGTTGTGCTATTAGCACACGGCATTTAAAGATAAAATAAAATTTTGAAACAGACCAGCACAAAGCGACAACATTTTATTTTAAGCAACTTTGCTTAAGCAGCCAAAGCAATATTTATCTCTAATGGTTTATATATTACATTACTTTTTAATAGAATATGGTGACTCCTGAAAAATCTATTGTTAATAAATATGTATATTTGATACATTGATTTTCCAAAAAGATTTATTCTAGGCAGTTTTACATCTTTTGTTTTTTTAAATAAAGTAATGTAAATGCAGTTTTTACCACACTACCCAGTTCGAAAAAAGCATGTACATTTACGCTAAATCTAGCGCACACACAATTAACGCACCCTTAGCATAATTTTACACGTGTTCATAAATGTACATGCCACTTTTTTCGAGTCATGTAAAATTACAAATCATCAACGAGGAATTTTCAACGATCGTGTAATTTTACTCCTTTTAGATTAGATTTTTTTTCTTGCTTGCACACTTAGAAAAAATCATGTAAATTTAGGTGCTCTGAGTGACATATACGAGCGTCAATTTTGACATAAATTTGAATTATAATAGACGCGAAATATAGCCCAATCAAACGTACTTTTCGTCGAGCAACGAATGTTTCAGTCTCGGAGCACTTAATATTACATGATATGTTTGTTTACTTCTAATCTTTTATGTCAAAGACGGATTCCGTCACGTGTAAGATTAGTTATTTCTAAGTGTGTGGGTATTCATGATGGTATGCTTAAGTTAGGATTAAATTTTATTACTAGACCCGTTTCTAAGATCATCTTGGCTGACTTTGGAATTAATCCAAGCCGAAATCACTCAAAATTAGTAGATCTTATTTTTAGAACTAGAAATAAAGTTTAATCATATAAGAAGCATTCCACAATTAATTTTCACTATTAAGTAACTATAAAATTTTCTGTAGAGCATATTTTATAGCTATTATGTAAGTCAAATCAAGCGTCACTTCTGGTCACTGGTGCATAATAGAGCCCTATATTCAAGCTAGAAACGTCTTCTTTTGGTCTGGGCCGTCTGAGCAGCATGATCAGCATTAAATACAGAAGTCCATGGAAAACGAAAAAGTAGGGTAAATGTCGGCTTCGGCACCCATTGACTGTTTTCGGCAATCAAAATTTAAACGTTAATTTCACTATGTTTTACCATCAACACACTTCCCTGAATGTATCCAAATGATTCTTTAGTCTTTCAGCTTCAATCTGATTATATTTGTAGGACCGAGCAATCCTTTTATGCCAGATTTTTCTTCAAATGAAGCATACGTAATACAAAATGGGGCTGATTTCGAGTTGCCGATAATAGAACAGCTGGTTAACACGTAGTTCTAATGGGAAGGTTGCCGAAGAAAAAGAGGCTGCCGACAATAGTCACACTCACC